AACTTTTGTATATTCCTCTTCGTCAACCTTTTACAATGTGTGCTCTTATCAAAAAGTGAAGATTTTGTTCTCTATCTCTTCCTATTTATAAGGGATATTTCCAAGAAACCCTAAAAAGTACAAACTAAGGAATATCCAAAGGAATATTTCCTTATGTCCATTTCTAAACCTATCCTACCGTTATTTGTTTACTCCAGTTGCTCGTCCTCGACAATAATCCTTCTGAGGACGACTCCCCGCTGTTATGCCGTGGTCGACCCGTCCTCGATCCTGTTCATGAGGAGCTCTTCTAACCACAACAAAGAGATTAATATTCTACTACTCAATCAGAGATGCTGCAAGTATAGAGGTTGGAGTTATAATGCAGAAGAAAATAGCTACTGCCCTGTCGCCTGTAATACTAATGATCTTTCCTCGGCTATTGCATAGTCGATTAGGTGATTGTATGCAGCAGGATAGTTACAAATTGCTAAAATAAATCAAGAAATAAAAAAGGACATAAGAACATGACAGTACGAGAAATTAAAGTACCATGCATTGCAAACCCAGATTATTGGGCGGTGGGAGTGAAACCACTCTTCACTACAGAAAGAAGCGACGAGAGCTTCATCCTATGCTCCCTATACACTTCAGCTGCGGGACTTTGCTGGATGCCGTTGGTGTTTAATACGCTCGTCCGTTTTAAATGGATCAAAAAATGCTCCATTTAAAAGACACCGTACTAATCTTTTTTTAAAATTTACAAATATTTTAATTTAATCTTTTTTTTCTATTTATTAAATAATAGATTTTTATAGTCAAACAAATATTTAAATTCATAATTATCCAAAGATTTATATTAACACAAATATTATGCATGTTTCAAGATTTAAAAGTATTTATTTTTTCTTAAAATTGATTTGGTTAAACAATGTCACATAATCAAACAATTGCTGAAACAGAGCTAAATGAGCTGCTTAAACAATAGTATGTAGCTAGTATTCTTTCTATTTTTGTGTGTTTCGAGGTGATTTTCTCAATTGATCAACAAATTATGTCTTGTATTTTTTTTCCTTTTTGGTTTCTCACCCAGCATTCACGAGAAGCCCGACTAAATTTAGATTCGCGCCAATAAGTCTCATATTTCACTCGGACAATCTTGATACAAATTGGTAACAAAACATAATAAGCATATCCCTGTAATTTGAATGCAACAACTTATTGTCATACTACTGTTACAATTATTCTTTGCCAGATCTTAATTTTTCTCAAACTAATTAAAACAAGAACATGATTCACTTTCTGAGATGAAATACATCAGTTAATTTCCACGAGGCAGAAGACGAACAGGAAGGCCATGCTTTGGCACAGGAGAAGCATCGAACACAATCTTCTCATCAGGAATAACCTTTTCAAGTTTAAACCTTTTAACCACATTGTGCATCAACACTAGTACTTCCGATCGAGCATACTCTTTTCCAGGGCACATTCGAGGTCCTCCCCCGAAGGGTATAAACGTGTAGGGAGCTGGACCACTTCCCTCGAACCTCGTTGGATCAAACTTTTCAGGGTCAGTGAAGTATTTCGGATTCTTATGTGTTGAGTGCACTGACCAAAATGTCTGTAAAAAAACATGTCATTTTCACAAACACCGTGTATAGATAGAAATGAAGGTAGCTAGTAAGTAACAAAATGAAAGTATTAAATTTTGTACCTTCCACCCTTTTGGAATGGTAAAACCTGCATATGTACAATCAGTGATTGTTTCTCTAAAAGCTCCTTGAGCTGGTGGAGTTAGCCTTAGTGATTCACGAACTACATTCCAAGAGTATTTCATCTTCTCAATGTCCTCCCATGTTAGCAACTCATCTTCTCCTTTCAACTTTGCAATTGCCATTTGTTCTGTCATCAAACAACCATTTGCCATGTGAATATATAATTGGACTTAGATTCATCAACAAATTTAAATTACCTATTTACGACTCTATATGTTTTATTTTATATAACGCTGTTTCCTTTTTAGTATGCGCCAAAAGTTCTCATTCTTTCTTAGACTCCATCTCCATAGTCAAACAGAACCATATAAAATAAAACAGAGAGAGTGTTTTTATTTCGCAAGGCATGTCTAGTTTACCTTTGTAAACTTGATCATAGACGTGGGGAAGTTCAGCCAGATATTTCAAGACACTAGTGACTGCACTACTAGTAGTCTCAAAGCTTGCCACTAGCATTCCTATTATATTGTTGGAGATCTCCATTTCACTCATAAACCGTCCATTTTCATCAGTAACAAGCAATATTTTTGACAGCAAGTCTCTGCCTCCTGCTATTGTCTCTTTATTCTCCATTTGTAATTCCTTTCTCCTCTGTGTAATGATCCTCATAAGTTCATCCCTTACCATTTTCCCACCTTTGATAGCGCGATTATAAGCTGTTCCGGGCAAATCAATAGGCATAGAAAACATTCCATTTGTAACAAGAGTGAAAGGATCAGCCAACCTCTTTATTTCATCAGGATTTACCAAACTCATGAACAATCGACACGCCAAATCAAATGTGTACTTCTTTGACAATGGGAAAACCTTTACTACTCCATTAGGAATCCAATTTTCATCTAGATGTTCTCGAGCCATTGCATCCATAATTGGAATGTATTGTCTTAGAGCCTCAGGCTTGAGAATATCTTGTAGAAAACCGCGTTGTAAAGTCAATACTTCTTTCAGTGAACTCTCAGCAAATTCAGGGAAAAGCAATGCCTTTTTCATGGATTTTGGCCACCAGGATGTGAGAAGTTTGTTCTCATTTGAGAATAAGAACTTATTCCCTTGTGCACCACAAAACACAGCCAATTTCTCTCCCATGATTAATGTTTGGAACACTTGAGGTGAGTACTTTTCCATTCTATTTTTGAGGAATTTCTCAGGACCTAATAAGGCTAACTCCATGTTTTCTCCTAACAATGGCCATCCAGATGTTCCTGGTGGAAGTTTTTTGCTATTCGAATCGCGTTTACGAAGGAAGAAAATGAAAGTGAGAGATAGAGGAAGGAATAGTAGAGCTAATAGGTAAGAAATCATGGCTTTCTTTTCTTCTTCTACTAAGAATGGGAGAAACTAGAAAGAAGTGAGTTTTTTGCTATGTATTGGAGAAGAGAGTGGAGAAGTGCAGATATATGTGAAGGGCTTAAGCTAATTGGCCTACACTGAACAAAAATAAGACAACTCGAAGCATCTAGGATTACTTGAATATAAGATTCTCTACTTTGTCTTCTTCTGTCTTAGAAATATGATATCAATATTTATTTTTTAAACTCATAATGCTGTCCACTTTACTGTTCATTACACCCTCTGGCCCTACAATATTAGGTAGGGTAGTTAAACAAGAATGGGGCTATTTTTAGTTTATTGTTAATACTGGCTGCTAGTCTAGTTAATTATTGGGGAAAAAACAGAAATAGCACTGTTCATTACACCCTCTGGCCCTATAATTTTTTGCAGGTCATTTTCTTTTATATGTACGTTAAGTACCTATTTTAATTAGGAGTATTAGCCTAATGTGTATGTGTGTGTATTTCATTTTTTTTCTTTCCCTTTGGGTGTGAGGAATGGTGTGGGCACAGCTCGTAGCCTAGTAGATACTTGGTGCACAGTCTAACACCTGTCTCGTATTATATTGGCTTGTCGTGTTTCGGTGATTTTAACTGTATGGCCATAAATTTATTCCATTTAAGTATCAAATATTATCTTAATATTACAAATACTGAACTCTAATATTTCAAAATAGTCATGAACAATAAATGTGCTAAGACGAAATGGAGGATAGATTTGTCCCTGTATCAAATAATTCAGGGACAAAATTTACTTTTTTGTTTTTGTTTTAATTGAATATATTCGAACGAGAGCGATCATTAACTAGGAATGCATTTTTGAACAACTCGACTAAGGCATGGACACTTTTGAACCAAAAAAGAAACGAACGATAAAATCGTCCCATTTCGAATCATTTAATAAAGGGAAAAATTAGCGGTTTTCCCTACTTTAAATATTTTTCTTAGGACGTCAAGCAAATTAAGATTGTCCAAATGCCTACTTAACAGCTTGTTTGAATGGTTGTTACATATTGTTTCATTTCATAATGTATTATATTGTATTATTGTATACGGTTAAAATCGAGGCTAACGAGTATCCCGATTTCCCGGTGGGTCAAACAAACCAAGGACATAACTACATGGAATCAGAATCAAAGCTGGGAAGGCCCGAACGGGATGCTCGTCATCGGACCCAACAAGACAACACCCCCCGAATTCGGCGAGCTCCAAGACCTCGGAAAGCACTACGAACGATGGCAAACGACTAATAGAGGGCCGTGATATCCGATTGGATATCACGGCGCGAATCCCGCCTTATGTCGGTAGCGTATCAGTAATTGATGTACAAGGAGGATTTTTACCTTTTTTAGAATTGTAGTAGGGGTAAAACTCCCCTACTATATAAAGGGTAGGTTTATTATTCAATAAAATAAACACACTGTGACACGCATATTAAGGCAATACAAACTTGTTTCTCTGCTTCTTATTTATTGAAAAGTTTTTATTTTGATCATAATTCTTCATATACATTTGACTTCGAATCGAGGGTCTGGTCGAAGGCAGAACTATTTTTAAGCTTAAATCCGAGCCCGGACTGAGCATTTGGAAATCTGCCGTGATAAACAGTGTGTTTTCGTACATCAAAATTCAAAGGCCTAAATACCCATCTATTCACTCTTACTTAGATTGTATAATTATTACGAACAAAGCTAGCAAAAAACCGAAAGATAGAACTCAGCATAGAAGCCAGTCGTCTTTATTTCAGTTAACAGAGAAAAGCACTCAATCTAATGCAAATCATCAATGCTGTGAAGCAATAGTCTGAAAGCCTCCCCAGCCTCATGGCTTACACAGACGTGCAAAACTTCTTTTGCTTAAAATGCTAAAAAATCTATTACGAAAAAAAGAAGCAAATCTGAATCAAGAAACTGACCTATAAGCAAGCGATTTCGAATTCATGAGGAGCTCATCTAACCACAGCAAAGGGATTAATATTCTACTACTCAACCAGATATGCTGCAAGCACAGAGGTTGGAATTACACTGCAGAAGACAAAAGCATCTTTCACATGCTAAGTTCATGCGGTAACAAAAACATGAAACAGAAGCCAGTGAAATAATAATGCCTTTTGCATTCTAAATGCAAGCTGCTACTAATAAGGTTTGAGGCCTGTCACCTGCAATACTAATGATCATTCCTATTGCATAGCTGAATAGGTAATTGTATGCAGCAGGATAGTTACAAATTGCAAAAACAACTCAAGAAATAAAAAAGGATATGAGAACATGACAGTGTGAGAAACGCACCATGCGTTGCAAACAATCCAAAACATGCCGCTTTAGGAGGAACGTTGGTCTTCCAGATTATTTTAGCAGGCCATTTCATCTACTATGTCTCCTTGAGCTTGCAAGTTGCAACATTTTATAGCAGGATATAACAGAGATCTTCTCATCTCTACTGGCTTTCCATGTACTGAGTCCTCTCTTTCTTCTAATATCACCACTGAACTCAACTTTTGAAGCAGAAGGTTAACATCTTCAATCTCCCAATCATCAAAATATCTTCTAAATTGCAAATTCCATCCACCTCCAGAATAACAATCAGAAATCCAACATTCCTTGTTACAGCATTCCAGTGATGGAGCTTGCTATCTGATAATCCAGATACTTATTACACTCGGTACACACGGGTACACTCAGAATGAAAAGAAATGTTTTCTGGAAATACAAAGATTGACTAGAATGAAGAATCAAAAAGTAACCTCTGCAACAACACGAGGAGTGACAATGAGACATTGCCTAAAGCTTTCATGTATAGTCATGCCACAAAGTCTCAAATGGCCTTGCAAGAAGGTCCAAATTCCCTGTACTTCTTCTTCAGAAAGAATACTGCTAAGTCCATCGTCCTAAGTTTTTAAGGACCTGGCTTTAGTCACTGAGATTTGCTCTTCTTGGTGTAAAGAGGGAATCCAGAGGTTCATAGAAGCTTCCAAGTTACATTTCACTTCCTTTAATTCCTCCTGCATAGGATATTAACTCAAAGTTAGTTCATCATTCAAATACTTGCATTAGAATTTCAAAATGCAACTTAGGGAAGAACTTGTTATGTAATTAGAGGTAATAGAAATTACAATACCATTTAATATGCTAAAAATATATAATTGATTGAATTATCTCGTCTAAAGCAAACACTCTGAATAACAATAAAATAAACTACCACTACAAACTTAAAAATCACTTTTTATGACCTACAGAGTCAAAACATTCATTTTGAATTGTTTGTTAGAAATAGATATATGGATTTGCCAAGTTGATTACCTAGAGTCACATAAATTATGCACTTAGAAATCTCGACAAGAGTAAAACATACCTAAGATAGCTCTTGTACGGTTCTTTGTTCTCAAACCATAGCCAAAGAAGCTAGCTAAATATTGTTGAAAAGACAAACAAGCTCTATGAGAAACCAGTAATAACTTTAGCCACTTCATTAGCCTTATCACGCTCCCCTTTTGAACACAATAAAGCAATACAGGAATAGAAAGAATTGAAGTCGAGCAACTGGGTTATTTGAGTGTCTTGGTCATGACGGTTGTTTGATGCCTTCTCATGCATCCAACTCTCGTGTGATCTTGAGTCTATATCCATCTCTCTCCCATCAGACTCTTCAAGTTTCCCTAATAAATTCCAAGCACCACACCCCCTTTTAGCAGGGAAAAACATGGATACCACTTCATTCAGAATAGTAACTGCCTCTTGTATGCTTCCTCGCTCACACAATAGAGAAAGAAAACTTCTAATAGACTCTGTCTCGATTTGGATTTCAACTCTGCCAAGAAGATCAATGACAGATTTTGATTGAAGCATCTCTCTCAAAATGCATCGAGATTCTTCCATCCTTCCTTTATCGCATAAGCCCCTCACCAGGTACATGAAACCCAAGAAATCAGGTAGTATGCCTTTCATTTTGAACTCGGAATAGAACCCAAGAGCTTCCTCCATGTCACCCTTCTGACAATAGCAGTTAAGTACTGCACTCACAGTGAATTCATCTGGTCTGAGGCCTTTAGCTTGTAAATCATGGAGAAGCTTCAAAGTTTCCTGGATTTGACCTAACTTGCTGCATCCATTGATTAATGAATTATATATGCGAGTACTCGCTCTAAGATTCTTTAGGAACATTTCCTCAAACAAACTTCTAGCATCTGCTAAAAGACCTTCTTTTGACAAAGCGTCAATGAGTATACCATACGTGATTTCTGAAGGAACTATATCATTCCTTTCTAATGAATCAAATAACCGAGAAGCTTCAAGCACACACCCTTGATGACACAACCCACTGATTACTGAGTTATAGGTTACAATATTGAAAGAAATTCCTATATTGCTGGCAAAATTACAGAGATCTAAGGCCCTGTCAATATGTCCTCCTTTGCAAAGGCCGTCAATAACAATTGAGTAGTCAACCACATCCATGAGAGGTAGCTTATCTCTCGCTCCCATAACAAGGTTATACGCATCCAGATATCGGCCACCTTTTGTCAGTGTCCGCAAAACTACAGCAGGAAAGGTCACCTCAGATGTGTCGCCTTTCACTGTAGCAAGAAACCGAAGTGCAGTTTCTACATTTTTAATGCAAAGGAAGTACACAAGCATCTTCTTTGCCCCGTGCTCAAACATCCCATATTTTTTTAGGAATGTTGTCAAAAGAAGTCCAGTCAAAAAGGTTTGGCCACCATAGAGAAGAGATTTCATTAAAAGATGGTAGGATTTCTTGCTCAGAACAAAACCATTACTTTGGATCACAATTAGCAGATTGACTGCAGCCTCTAGTAATCCTTTGTTGCACAGGAAAGAAACAGCATCTTCACACATTGAACCAAATTTTCCATGCTTAACTCTTTCCAATCTCTGAAACAAATCTAAAACTCCCTGAGCACCCTTAACTTCAAAGATCTTTTTTATCAATGTCATATAGATCCTTGTACTTAAAGGCAAACCTCGATCAATTAGTTCAATGAATACTTCAATTGCAATGTCCGGCATGCCATTCCTACAGAGCCCTTGAATGGTGCAATTGTAACATGCAGCTGAAGGTATAGATGTCTTCCGAAATTCATCAAATATTTCAAGTGCTTCCTCTATCATTCCTACTTTTAAGTAACCGTCAATCATGGCACAGTAATTAACAGAATTGGAAGTAATGCCCATATCTGATATTTTCTTATATATGGAAAGAGCCTCCTCAAACAACCCCATCATAAATAGGGCTTTTATAAGCAAGTTGCACATAGTAACATCCAGAAAAACATCAGCTGCTTCAACTCTCTTTTTTGTTTCTAGCATTCCCATGACATTTTCTTCTTGAATATAACCATGTAACAATGTACTATACGTGATAACATCTCCGAGGATTCCCTTAGACACATCATCGGCCTCATTCATCCTCCCAGCTTTGCACAATCCATTGATAATGGTATTATATGTGACAACACTAGGTTTTATGCCTTTCTTCTCCATTTCACCGAGCAGTTCAAATGCGCGTCCAACGTCACCCTTCCTGCACATACCATCAATCAATACTGCATAGACAAATTCATCTGCTTCAATCTGCAAATCCTCAACCATCTTAAACACTGCAAACGCCTCAAGCACTTTCCCCTTCTTGCAGAATCCTAATACTAGTGCTGTAAGAGTAACCAAATTAGGTTGAAGACCATGTTTTTTCATCCTGTATAGGAACCCAACTGCTTTCTCCACATGTCCCTCCTTTGAGAACCCATCAATAAGTATTGTATAGCCTATTGTATCCAACTCAATTCTCCTAGTACACACCATCTCATTATATCTTTTTAGTGCCTCTTCAATTGCTCCTTCCCTAAAATACCCATATATCCAATTACTGTAAAACACAACATCTAATTCTAATCCATTTATCCCCAAATTAGAAACCTCCTCAATTCTACCTAACATATAATAAGCACTCACAAGTGTTGTGTAAGTAACAACATTGGGCTTTAAACAACCTGAATTCACAGCATTTTCAAAGAACTCAACAGCAAGCTCAGGCTTTCCAACACTCAAGAACCCATGAATCACAAAACTGCACACAAAATTATCAAATGGGTATTTAATTTTCTCATGGGTCATTAACTCCAGCACTTGAATTGCTTCATTGATCCTTTCCTGACTGCAGAAAGAGTGAATCAACGAACAAAAAGTGTAAGAAGAGAGCAAAATACCATCTTTCCCTGAGCAATCCTGCAGTAAAGAAAGCGCCTTTTCGGGATTTGTTTTAGAGAGGCCTTGAATTGAAGAATCAATTAGGCGTTTGTCGAGCTGGTTAGTAGTATTCAATTTCAAGTGCTGAAGTGCCTCTTCGAATCTGTTCTCTTTGGCAAGTGCTCGTATAAAGATTTTTTGTGTGTTGGAGTCTGTGTTGAATTTGTTTGATTGGACTAAGTGGATGATGAGTTTGAATTTTTTGGATCGAGAAAGGAAGAGGAGGAAGTGGTTCAAGTGTTGGGAGGTTGGAGTGAAACCACTCTTCACTACAGAAAGAAGCGACGAGAGCTTCATCCTATGCCTCCTTAGCTGGATGCCGTTAGTTTTTTACATATTTTCGTCCATTTGCTGTAAGATTTTAGAGGTGGGTCAAAATATGCTCCATTTAAAAGACACTGTTCAATAGTAGTAGTAATCTTTTTTTTTTTTTTTTA